AGAAAATGTGTGAATTCATTTACTGTAAAATGTAATTTTAATCATGAAATCAAATCCTTGGGTCATATGGGATCCTTATATGGGCGACTTTCTGTCCTTTTTTCTCATTTATAAGCTTTAATCACTGAGAAACGTTTTTCCCTGCAGACTCCCAGTCTGTAGATTTGTTTACAGTCTGCAGACTTTCAGTGGATTAGCTTAAAAAGCTGTAACTTCTAACCACATGGAGGTTTTGGTGAACTTGTGGTCTCCTTTAGTAGAGAAAATGTCAAACTTAGACACCTCCAGAAGTCTTGAAGTGTTTTCCCTTCCAGTCACATGTCTGCTGCGTTGCTTTTTCCCTTCGGTTCCACGGTTGTTTCCCTCTTCTCTTTCAGCTCAGGACCAAGGCCTGGATGCTCTAGCAGCCGTCATCAGCCGGCAGAAGATAATGGGCCAAGAGATCGGCAATGAGCTGGAGGAACAAAACGGTAAAGTTAATGTTCCACTGCTTCTTTCTTTTTTTTCCCTACCTTTCTTTTCCTTCCATATTCCCAAAACATAACATAGCAGAGTGTGAAATCAGGCGGACAGATGTTGCCTCTGAATGGAACAACGTACCTCATCAACAAAGCAGGAAGGAATATTCTCCCATATTATCGCAGCCGAATTCACGTCCTGTAAAGTTTTTCACACTTTTATATCTTTCTACTGCAAATGACAAAGTATTTAAGAAGTATTATTATCTGAGGGATGTGATGGTTTGTTGGAGAACAATGATGAACAAGAAGCAAAGGTGTAAGGAAGGAAGAAGGAAGGGCAAGTAAAGGAAGGGAGGGAGGAAGGAAGGAAGGACAAGTAAATGAAGGAAGGGAGAGAGGAAGGGAGGAAGGACAAGTAAATGAAGGGAGAGAGGAAGGAAGGAAGGAAGGACAAGTAAATGAAGGAAGGGAGGAAGGAAGGAAGGACAAGTAAAGGAAGGGAGGGAGGAAGGAAGGAAGGACAAGTAAATGAAGGGAGGGAGGAAGGAAGGAAGGAAGGACAAGTAAATGAAGGAAGGGAGGAAGGAAGGAAGGACAAGTAAAGGAAGGGAGAGAGGAAGGAAGGACAAGTAAATAAAGGGAGGGAGGAAGGAAGGAAGGACAAGTAAATGAAGGGAGGGAGGAAGGAAGGAAGGAAGGACGGACAAGTAAATGAAGGAAGGAAAGATGAGCAAGTAAAGGAAGGGAGGAAGGACAAGTAAAGGAAGGGAGGGAGGAAGGAAGGAAGGAAGGACAAGTAAATGAAGGGAGGAAGGAAGGAAGGAAGGACAAGTAAATGAAGGGAGGAAGGAAGGAAGGAAGGAAGGACAAGTAAATGAAGGGAGGGAGGGAGGAAGGAAGGAAGGACGAGTAAATGAAGAAAGGAAAGATGAGCAAGTAAAGGAAGGAAGGAAGGAAGGAAGGA